GTTTTAGGAAGCAGTTGGCTACTAGCGGCCGATGAGAGAAAATTTGCACAGGTATGTTTCGCAATGACCGTTTGCAGATAAAAAATCCTGGACTGCCCACCTCTGCAGCGACGGTGATGACAGATGAAGTACGGAGCAGTCCACTGGTGATGGGTTTTGGTTCGTATTTGGCTCCTTTCCCCCTTTCTTGGTTTTAATGATATGATTATATCATCTGGGGTCAAATGGCTCCTGTTTATTCTAGGATTCCCTACAGTCCTTCCATTTCAGCAGTGGTGCGCTAAAATGACCCTTTGGCACTGACTCCTCCTGCGCGTTTTGGCATCGGTGCGTGGAACGGCAACTCTTGGCTCTGGTAGCAGAAGCCTCGCTGATTGAGAGAGAAAGCGCGAGAGGGGGGGGGGGTGGAGAAAGAGAGCAGGCGGGCAGACAAGACACCTCCTCCTCCTCCTTCTCGTCCAACAAGCACAGGTCCGATGTTTCCTAGTGTCCCACAGTGTCGGGGCTACTTCTTGTTGACTCACACGATGAAAGCGGCTCTGCTTGAGAGGACCCCGCTTTTGTATGTGTGCAGACTATATGCAGCCTGTGTTTTTCTTGTGTGAGTGTGTGTGTGGCTGGGGTTGCCTCCGTGGAGTGGGACGGGATTCAAGTTCAAGTGCGTCCGTGACGACCCCACAGGCGCGTGGAGGCGGCGGACAACATAACACATGGACACTAGCGGTGGCTCCCCTTAGCTCAGAGATGGGCTGCATACAAAGTAATTCACTCATCAGTCATTAATTATTTCAAAGGCAGTGTCACTGTCTGCCTCTTGAATCAGTCTTCCACCCCAGATCACTTCTCTTACCGTCAAAGGTGGCTCCAATGGTCATTACATCCAAAAGATGTCCAAGAGTCTTATCATGTTTCCCTTTTCTTTCTGCCTTTTCCTTCTTTATGTTACATACGTTAACTGATTGGTATAACTCGTTCTCTTTCATATAACGTTTGCTGAAAAACCAGAAAGAAACACAATTTGTTAATTTTTAAACATGGCAATGGGAAGTCAATTAGGATCAATTTTGGTGGTGGACACAGGAATTAAACGCATCCTACTGACTATGCAGCAGTCAGGGTGAGTGACGTAGTATTACACCATGCTAAAGACTACTTATGGTGGGCAGGTGGCGAGGTCAAGGGGTCAAACAAACACAGAACTTTCAACCATGACAAATGCAGGACTTTCAACTAAGAGAACTGTGTTCAACATCGCGTGGCCCAAAGTATCAATGTGAGGTGACGCGATCATGGCGGCTTTCCTAAACCTTTGCTTGGTTGCCTAAACCTAACTGTATGTAGTTATTTTCAACCAATGTTTCTCATTAACCAAACTTTTTGTTGTTGTTGCGTAATGTCATCCCAACTGACAGAAAAAGAAGTCATGCTGAGCGACATTAAGAAAATGGACAATGTATGCTGCTCAGCACGAAACCAATAGATTTCATTTCATGACTATTATTATAACTGTTGTGAGACCAGTCGCACCTAGATCAGACTAAATAAACCGTATAGGTCATTCTGGGTTCAAAGGTCACCTTTAATTCAGATAATGAATACTTTTTATGTTATTGTGACATTCCATGCTGTGTAAATGATCTAATAACACTATTGCACATGATCAATATAAATATATGGACCTATTTCCTCACACTGAATCAGGGGGGGGCAGCAGGCTGCATCTTTGTTGTAGGGATAATTTAAACATGTTGTGAGGCAACAGTACCCTCTGTTGGCACAGTAAAGGACACATTACCAAACCGTTTAGGGGGTGAAAACATAACACTGCCTTTCTACACTTTATTCTCATTTTTAGAATGGAGCCTCCTTAATTTGCTATTTACACTATTCAGAATGTGAGAGAGTCCTTAAAGAGCAGAACCGGTTCACTCAGAGCCAATTAATGGCACTAATGGGCAATCATTCCGCACATAATTCACTGTATTCATTTAGATCAGTGTATGCACAGATAAGTGCCTTGTGCAGGCTACAGCTCAGCTAAAAACACACTCACGTTTCTTTTTCTCCCACCTCACCATACATTCTTCTCTGCTATAATTTGGTTGAAATACATTGTTGAATACAAATATAAAGCCTAATGCAGCTATTTAAAGTTGACACTATTTCCTGGTGGATCAGGAGGGAAGTGTGCAGATATAGCAATGCATTTTATAGTCTGCCATTAATAAAACATGGTGGGCAATTTTAAGAGCATTAGAAGTTTGATTGCTTCAGGGCAGGCCTCGGGGACTTTCAGGACAGTAATTATTTATATAAATGAAATGTCATCTCAACTCTGGCTCAAGTAGAGATAACATCAGCACACTCCACATGGAAACAGTACAACATAGCAGCTATCTTTCACAGATGGGTCGAGCATGTTGTCAAGCATGTTGCTTTGACTGGAGCGCATAAATTCGGTATGTGATATTACACGAAATGTCTTCGTTTTCGCATCAGGCCAAGAGAGCAACAGCAGTCATGGACACATCGGATGCTGAAGGAAAACATTATCCTGAGTTCACTCACTCGCTTGCTATCCCTGCTGGCTGCAAGCAGCTCCTTGATCCTTACCCATGGGTTTCTCAATAATACATCAACGTCTCCATTATAGCTTGTATCTGCTGGCTTTGGGCAAAGGCTGTTTAAACTGGGTTGCACAGGGCCAATATACCACAAATGCCCTGCTTGTGGACACAGGAAAGGTTTTAAGTCCAAAGTGTTGCCTCTAAGGAGACATGCATCTTGTGTGGTCAGTGCCATCGCTGAATCTGAGATACCCACACACTGCAGGGCAATACATACACAAGAGATGAGGAGATGCTGAAATGAAAGTTTGTCCAAGTAACAAGAGACATTATGTGGATATTTTAGGTCTTTTCCCAAAATGACACAGGATTTATAATGATTCCACACACTCATAATTTATGTTAAATCATAAAAATGAGCCCAAGGACAAAGTAGAAGTAAGGAAGCTCTTGCACATCAGTGGACAATGCATGCAGCTTAACTGGCTTTGACTCTGGGTCACAACCTTCGTCACATCCTTTTATCTTCCTTTTTTTCTTGCGTCTTTACTCCCTAGAGTACATACCAGAACTACATGAATGTCAAAAAACAGACCAACATATATGAGAAAAAAACTGCACTGAACATAACAGAGTTTTTAAGAATATAGAAAGGATTACGTGTTGACTTAAGTAGCAGGCATTTTGATGTGTTCAACCACAACAGGATTGACATAAACAATGAGAGGTCCACTCCAGGACAGCTCAGGGTAATATGAATATTGCTCTGGGATTCGCTTATAGTCGGTGCTTCATTATGCAATGTTTAATATTAATAAAGAAAGTACAAGTATATATTATTCATAAGATGATTTACTGTGGTGTGTGTGTGTGTGTGTGTGTGTGTGTGTGTGTGTGTGTGTGTGTGGACTTGAGTGACAGATTGAGATGCTCCCTTGCTACGGGCAATACAACTAGACAAGGCTCTTACTTTTCTACAGGACACATCCTGACAATTTCTCCCACAGTTAAGAGGATTTGTCCGAGCACAGCTGAATATATAATGCATGCAGATTCCAAATTTTAATTTGGACGAAGTAAATGATTCAATGCTGGCTTTCCTCAGAAGTGAGGCTGGGAGGGGAACGGAGAGGGCACAAGATGTTACTTGAAAGTACTCTCTACAATCTGGAGCATTTGAAGCAAACAAAAGCGATGATGATTAATTACCATGAGCTCTTGTTCATGTCAAGTTTAAAAGAGTGAAGGGAGTATTTTTTTCTTATTTATCATAAATTGCAATCATTAAATCCATATTTATAAGATTATTGAACTGTATTTTTACCTTGCTCTGCAAAAGATGCTACAGCAGCAGGTTTTCTGCATTTCACTGCATACGTCTATTTAAAGGATAACAAGAGTTTTGACTTGACATATGAATAAAAGCATCTAATAATTCCGGTTTTAACAACTCAAAGCTACTCAGTTTAATTAATGGTCAATAATGGCTGTAACACGTCAACTGTAACTTGTAAAACAAGGCAATGTTTTGTGGTATTAAACTCTCAGTCACATTCATCAGATTTCTGGAATGACAAATAAAAATGTGGATCTTCAATTAGACATGAAAAGTCTCATTCTCATCCATCAGCTGGCATTATGAGGTTTCAGAAATGTCTGATTTATTTAATTTATAAAGATAAAAAGGTTGTTTATAAACTCAAAAGACAGAGGGAAATTCAAAGAGCGCAGGGAATCTGTTGCTCTAGAAACTATGTTTCCTCTTTAACAAAGACCAAATCTCAAATGAGATTTAACTGGTCTACTAATAGACCGCTTTGATAAAAGACAAAAAAAAGCATTTTGTGGCAGATTTGATTTCCTTTTAGTGCTGCTGCTTTTGTAATATATCATTCTGTTATCCCACTGCCTTTTAATCATGTGTTTTTCAGCCTTCCACAAATGATTTAGCACCGCTGCATCTGTGTGTGATAATTATATGTTTCTTTATATTTAGGGGCACATTTCTATCACTTTATATTGCCTGCTCAAACCAATGAAGTGTAGTCTTTTTAAACAGGTGTGTGACCAAATCCAGTAGGCTATAGAGCAATCATTCAAGATAGTATCTTTAATTTGTCGTAGAACTGTATACATTTTGTTATTTTTTCATAGACATTGTACTGATTGTTCAATTGAGTCATCTGGTCAAATCAAAGACTCCAAAACATCCAGTGTGTTGCACAACTCCAAGAGTGATTCATTGTCTCCCTCTAGTGGATATTATTGGGAAAAACATTTTAAACATACAAGAAAACATGAATTCTTCACACGTATATCTGGATTGGGGTTTCCAGTAGCAGGACTGTAAATGAAAGCGTTGAATGAATGAATACAGAAGAGGAAAGGTACATCTGAACTACAGCAAACGCGTATCAGACAGATACACGTCCTGCGTGATGACGTCTGCAACAGTCTCTGACGTACTCCATAATGGCGGAACCCTTGTTACAATGGGGGCTGTCGTGGATCACTTGTTAGACAACTTCTGGTGAATAGCTGCGGATTATTGTCACAGCTGTTTGTTTCGGGTGGTTTACTCTGACGGCTTCATGTTAAAGGTAAGAGTCGTGTTCCATTACAAACAGACTACCGGGCTGAATGGAACGTGTCCTCGGTGTTCACACCTCGCGTGAAGCGAGTCCGCTAGCTGAGACCAGAGCATCACCTGTTTGGCTTCACGCTATGTAACTCTCTTTATTTCAAGGAGTACTTCTTGGTAGCCTACCCGTGTAATGAACGGACATTCCCGGCGTAATGTTACCCCTTGGTCTACACATAATCGACTAATTCCTATCGTTAGTTATTCGGTAACGTTAGCTCCACGAAGCCAACTTTAAGTTGCCATTACTGCTAGCTCGGCTAACATTATTGAATGCTAACGAGGAGTTAGCAGCATCGTCATGCTAATTCGGTGAAATTCTTCCTCATTGTTTTTGAAATCCCTATGAATGTATTTATTGTGTCATATATGTATTACCCAGTGAAGGAGTATGAATGAATGGAAGGCGCCATGACAACCATTATGTAGAATCTGTCTCCTCTGTTCCGCTTGTCTAACATCCTCAAACGGTTCGCCTCCATCATTACTGTTCCAGAGTAACACTTCACACAGCGTTAGTTTGAACTCTGAACAAATGAGCCGTGAGCTACTTCCACCCAGCGTTTACAGTAGCTCTTATTTAAAGTACCTTTACACGTTTACATCTTCGGTACCCGTCTGGTAGCTCAGTTCTCCGGGTTGCCAAAGTGAATAGCACCTCTATATTGAGACTTAGTGAGGATAACACGCACTGTGTAGCTTTGAGTCCTGCTGCTCTAGTCTTCAGCTCTAACTCTGGATCCTGGACCCTGTCTCTGTGTCCCTGTATCAGTCCAGTGCAGCGGGTCCATCCACCGTTGCCTCTCCTCAGCCAATGAAGGAATTCAAAGAGAACTTTTCAGGCCAAGTGATTCTGGACCACATCAAGCCATGCTGGTACTGGGACAAGAAGGACTTAGCCCACACCCCCTCTCAGTCTGAAGGCCTGGACCCTGGCACAGAGGCCCGCTACCGGAGAGAAGGAGCCCGCTTCATCTTTGACGTGGGGACCAGACTTGGCCTGTATCTTTGATTACTTTGAATACTAAAAGACAAATGAATATCAATATTAAACTATAAATTAATTACATTTGTTGTAATTAGTCCCTAATGAAATCTAGTAAATGACAGACAGAAGACATAACAGCATCCACATTTGCAGAAATGAGACAATGAAAATACTGTGTTGTGTGTGGCCTTTTCTTCAGTCAAAGTGAAAGTCATTAAGTCATTAGTAGCTATTAAAGAGGTAGACTTTCTGTGATATCCTTGACTGTCATCAGACACTATGACACACTGGCCACTGGCATCATATATTTCCACCGCTTCTACATGTTTCACTCCTTCAAGCAGTTCCCCAGATATGTAAGTCCAGTTTAACCTATTCTCACCTCTTCCTTGAAGTGGATTAAATGTGTGGGATTAAAGTTGAGGTTTATGTCCCAACAGGTGACCGGTGCTTGCTGTCTGTTCCTGGCGGGGAAAGTGGAGGAAACTCCAAAGAAGTGTAAAGACATCATCAAAACAGCCCGCAGCTTACTGAATGATGTGCAGTTTGCCCAGTTTGGAGACGATCCGAAGGTGCCGTTTTCTTTCATTTTGACTCTGCAGTCTTGGGACATTTTCTGTTTACACTGGTCATTGGAGGTTCACAGACGAGGTCTCAGTCGGGGAGTTTCTATTGCACACCGAGTACAGAAAAGAATATTCTTTACTCATTCAAAAATTTAAATCTCTAATCTTATGTTAAATCCTTTGTAAACTAGCTTTATAGACTGATAGCATGCTGCAACCTAATTCTGATTACGCTACTACAGCAAACAGCTGTAATGTCATGTGTAGAACTGAGTCCCTTCTCAGGTGTGGCTGCTGGTTTTGGTAAATAAACACATGTCTCAATTAGACTGTGGGTAACTTTTGTCTGTATGGACATGCTAGACACTAGATTGGTTAGGTTCTCCACAATTCAGTCATTGGTGTCATTTAATGGAAACCATGAGTACAACAAGATGGAGGGAAAAAGTGCTGAACTACCTCCTCGGTTATTTATCTTCCTTTAGTCCTAAAGGGTCCACCGATCAAAAGAATCAAAACAGTTTTTCATGAATAATATTCAAAGTTGTGAATCTTGTCATGTGAAGTCCATTCTTTACTCTCTTCTTCCTGCATCGTCTTGTTGGGTGTGCTTGTTTTCGTTACTTTGCTGGCCGACAAATAAGTGTCCCCAATTTTTCCTGTTTAGTTTTCACCCCCGTTCCTTCTCTGTATGCTGAACAGGCGATGACGATAAAGGCAGGTGTTGTGTCGGTATGCTGGCTGCCATAAAACAAGCTTGATCTTATTATCTGAATGCCAGAACCCCAAGAACAAAAGCAAAGTATTCTATTACTACAGGATACAGCGATGCTTTTTAAAGTTACTGGTGCGTATTGTAGATGTGCTATAAAAGGCTCCAGGTATGCCAGAGTGTAAGAGGTTGAAAAGGTGGACCGTTGGTTCTCTGGTCATGAGTCAGCCCTCAGTCGTGTTCTCACTAACTGGGATATTTCTTTTAGCAGGAAGAGGTGATGGTGTTGGAAAGAATTTTGCTCCAGACCATCAAATTTGACCTGCAGGTGGAGCACCCGTACATGTTCCTGCTGCGCTACGTCAAGCAACTCAAAGGTGAGATGGGATAAGAATGGCACTAGATTCCAAACAGAGGGTGCTCATTTGTTGCTCAAGGAATTTAGAAAGCTTATGACTCATTTTCTTCTTGTTAAAGGTGAGAAGAACAAAGTGTGCAAGGTGCTACAAATGGCATGGACCTTTGTCAATGACAGGTGAGCAGTTCGCATGTGAACTCTCTGTATTACAAAGTGATGTGCTTTCTTTCTAAAACTCAATGAGTATGCTAGAGGTAGACAGAAGGGGAGGAGAGAAGACTGACCGTATGTGTCCCTGCAGCCTGTGCACCATGCTGTCTCTGCAGTGGGAACCAGAGATCATTGCTGTAGCCGTCATGTACCTGGCCGGCCGCCTCTGTAAGTTTGACATTCAGGAGTGGACTGCCAAGCAGTCGTCACGCCGCTGGTGGGAGCAGTTTGTGCAGGACGTCCCAGTTGAGCTGCTTGAAGGTACTCATCAGAAAGCCATGACACTACCTGCCTCTCCTATGATATTTGTGTCATTTCCTTACAGACTCGTCTCAACAAAAACACCTCTTTGTCTTCCAGACATCTGCCACCAGATCCTGGACCTGTACTCTCAGGGAAACAAGCCCATCCCTCAGCAGATACAGGAGAAGGAAAGGGCCGCAGCTCCTCAAGTCCCAATTCCTCCAATCCCACAGGGACTACCACCAGCCCCCAACCCTCCCCCCCCCCCACCAAAGAAGACTTCCCCTCAGGGAGGCAGCCCTGTACGCCAGTCCAAACGCTCACATGCGAGTATTCACTTCATTCATACATCAACATCATCAACCTCAAAGTGAGAACTGAGTATGAGTGTTTTCATGTTGTTTATTTCTTTTTTCCAGACATCCCCCAAAGATGAACCAAAGGCTCCAGGTAACACTTGTGTGAAACACTCATGCAGGCCAAATTCTGCCCGTGTGTTTTAAAGACATTCATAATTTGTAAACCACTGAAACGCCTCCCAGAAAAGTTAGCTAATTATCATGACTTCAGTTTAGATGAAGTCCTGGTGAGGTTACAGACGAATACTGTAGGTTCTAAGTGCTCGGGATTCGTATTTTGCTTTCGGGCTTGAGGGTTTTATGAATATTCAAGCCGACAGGAAAGTTCCCTAATGCATTCACTGAATTTAAAAAGCCTTTGCAGCGTCTTGACTGGTCTGTTTCATTCACAGGACAAGTTGGATCAAAGATTCCCAGACTGGAGAGCCCCATGCCCCCTCTGCCTACATCGCAGCCTCCCCCAGGTAAGAATGGACTGTTTACCCTACCATCTTCCTTCAGTCTAATTTGTGAGGCAGTTAGAGTGATTTTGAGTACAGGTATGTGCTGGCAACCTCTGAACTGAGCTGTCTGTGCCATAATGAGCAGCCAGGACCCCCTGCCTCGGACTCGAGCTTAGAAAGCAACCCAAAGCCTGTAGTCCTCTAAGTCTGCTTACATAAGCAGCAACTCATCTGTCCATTATGTTTCCCAACACACGCAGACTCCTAACCTCTCCCAGACCAATCTGATTAGTGCTTGAGCCTGATAACGAGACCTCCTATGTGGCTGAAGCCTGGCAGTCTGGGAATGGAGAGGTTATGTGAGATCACGGGGAATGAGTGGCCTCGTGGTTTTTACAGGAGAGATGAAATGTTAGAAACCAAATCTCTAACAAGTTGTTTTCTCCTCCCTCACTAGAGCGCAAAGCCCCAGCTCCAGCCCCCCCCCACGGAAGCGGAACCATTAAATGAAACTGCTCCTCCTCCACCGCATGCTCCGCCTCCACATAAGCCCCCTCCCCTACCCCATCGCCCTCCTCCACCTCCGCCCTCCAACTACATCATGTCCACCACCAGCTCCTACATGTCCGGAGAAGGCTACCAGAGCCTGCAGTCACTGATGAAGACAGAAGGTCCCTCCTACGCCCCGATGCCGCCCAGCTATGCACCTCCAATACCGCCATATCACCCCCACGTTTATCCCCCGCCTGCCGCACCCCCTCCAGGCCCGCCGCCTCCTCCTTCTACCTACCCACCACCCAACTTGGCGCCAACGTATCCGCCACCAGGCTACAACAGCTACCCTCCACCACCACCTCCACGCATGCCGCCAGGCCACGTACCCCCTCCAGTTATCGGACTCCCGCCTGCTGGGTACCCCCCACCCCCCGGTCCCCCAGGACAGTCGCAGGTGCCCCTGCCCCCTCCGCCTGGCATGCCTATGAACCATGGTGGGTGGATGAGATGAGAGTGAAACAGTCCATGAACTGTGTCCTTACAGACTCGTCGAGCTTGTTGTTGGGCTTGTATTAATAGAGGGACGGATTGTTCTCTTCCAGTATGACTTTTGTTGAGGAGGGGCTTAATGAAGGCTTACCAAGAAGTAGACTTGAAAAGGGATGTCTGGACAGGATTGTTATGAGAACCTGAGCTGACAGACGGCAGTCTCCATGGCTCACTGTGTACAGGATGGTACTTCATGTAGTTCCAGGATCTTGTAACAAACGCTGTCCACTTTGTTATTTTTCTGGAAATGTAACCACAAATGTCAGCATCCTAAATTTAGTTTTGTGACACATTCTCCTTAGTTGTGAGGTAATGAAATGTGTTCTGTTTTTGCTTGACCTGTTGGATAGATCAGAGGTTGACTCCTATTTCTTTCTGGGTATGAACACCCTCATCATGTCTTGTCCTGCATTTCCAATCATCCCCGTGTCTTTTTCCACATTCCCACACGGAGTACTCTTCATGAATATACTGTGTATTCATGCTGTATATCCTGTATACAATAGTCAACACTGGACAGTCGAAGGCATATTTGTACATCTCTCTTCATTTAGGCATTTCTTCTTTCTATCCATATGTGCCTTACTCGGGCTTCTCTGTATCCAGCTTTGGTTTGGTGCCTGAGTGGCACTTAGTAAAATAAAGACCTGCCTTTCCTACTTTGAACTTTGTGTTTTCAATCAGTATAAGAGATGTTGATCATTGATTATGTACAGTTGTGTTGGATGAATATAACTTCATCTGTACCTCTTATGAGTAGATTAAACTAATTGAAAGCTATTTATATAAAGTAGATATAGTTACAATGTTATTAACCAAAATCCAATCGTTTATCCATTTCTTTTAGCCAACTATTTAACAGTCATTTATTTCAACTTTTCATGTATTTGAAATATGGATAAGTGGTTTAAATGTGTAACCATTTATCTCTTGCTAACATCATTTCGACCATTATTCTCCCCCACAATAATGACAATGTTCAGCCTACTTACAGCCGACACCATAAAAAACTCAAGGCAACAAGGAAACCCTATTACAAGTTACACATACTCTGACACTTGGTGAGGGCAAAGGAAACCCCTGAACAGGAGAACAAACACTTTCTTAACCTCTCAACCATAGTGTTCAGCTGGTCAGACATCTAGGCCTACTAGTGGTGC